CTGCTTCTCTCTCTCTCTCTCCCTCTCTCTCTCCCTCTGTCTCTCATGAATAAATAAATAAAATCTTTAAAAAATAAAAATAAAAAAAGAAATGGTTTACTCTGGTCTTCTCAGTATTGGTATTTGTTTAGTCATAGCTATGATAAATGCAGTTGGTTGGTTTTTTTTCTTAACACAGAGTACTTGCTTTTTGTAAAATTCAAACCTTGCATGTGACCTGATTTCCACCATCATCAATTTGTCTTTTCAGTAAATATTTTAGTATTTATTACTAAAATAAAAAGTTTCTTTTAAAAAATATGACTACACAGGGCACCTGGATGTCTCAGGTGGTTAAGTGTCTGCCTTCAGCTTGGGTCATGATCCCGGGGTCCTGGGATCAAGCCCCACATCGGGCTCCTGGCTCAGCGGGGAGCCTGCTTCTCCCTCTCCCTCTGCCTCTCCCCCTGCTCATGCTCTCTCTCTCTCTCTCTCTCTCTGTATCTCTGTATCTCAAATGAATAAATAAAATCTTTTTAAAAAAATGACTACAATAGCAAACCATTTTCATACATGAGAAACTAACAGTAATTCCTTTATATCCCAAAATATTGTGTTAAATTTCTAGTTCTCATAATTCTACATCATAATTTTTTTGGTGGTTATCTACTTGAATCAGGATTCAAATAAAGCTCCACATTGGGCTTAGCTAATTTATTTCTTAAATTTCTTTTTCACTCTTTATTTTTTCCCTTGCAGTCTGTTGAAGAAACCAGGTCATTTGTCTTAGTTTCCTGGAGTTTCCTGATTGTACCTCTTTGGAGTCATGTATCAATGTTCCTGTCCCCTCTGTGCGCTGGAAATGGGAAGTTAGATCTGGCCCCTTGATCACATGCACATTCAGTCCTCTCACAACAAAGGCTGGGGTGTGTTCTCCATTAGGACACTCATAACACTCCCTCATCTCTCTCTGTGATGTCAACAGCCCTTTATAACCATAATGGCCTAGATCCATTAATTCTCTAGAGAATGCAGAATGATCATAGCCTAATTCCTTCGTTCCTGGTCTGGAATTCTTCTTTGAAGAAAAACTTCCCCATAGCAATTATTTGGTTAACTATAGTGGTATTGACTAAGGAGGAAGAACAGGATAAATGCTTACTTTCCTTTCCCCTTTATTTGCCACTTGTGAAAACCTTCAGCTGGTTCACTGTCCTCCTTCAATGTTGACGGGTTCATCAAAAACATGATTTACCCCTTCCTTGCACCATACGCAAAAGCTAACTCCAAAGTTAACTTGGCTAGACCAGAGATGTGAATGTAGAATGCAGAAACTGAAACTCTTGAAAGGAAGTGTAGGTGTAAATCTCCATGACCTTGGGTTAGGCAGTGAGTGGTTTCTTAGATACGCCACTTAAAGCATGAGCAACAGAAGAGAAATAGACTGCATCCAGTTGGGAAACTTTTGTGCTATGTTACCGTTCAGAAAGTGAAATGGGAAAAAATACCTCCAAATCCTATATCTTAAGGGACTTAAACCCAGAATGTATAAAGAACTCGTAACTCAAGAAATAAAATGAAATAAAAATTTAAAAGTGGGTACAGGGTCTGAATAGATGTTTCTCCAAAGAAGACAAATGGCCTATAAACACATGAAAAGATGCTCAAGGTCATTGGGGAAATGGCAGATCAAAAGCACACTGAGCCACCGCTTCTGGGACGCCTGTGATCAAAATGACAGACCGTGATGACAAGCCTTAGCAAGTGTGTCGAGGGACCGAAGCCCTCGTGTTCTGCAGGCGGGAATGTGAAATGGTGCGGTCGCTCTGGAAAGCAGGCTGGCAGCTCCTCCAAAGGTTAGCCATGGTTACCTTGTAACTCAACAGTGGTACTTGCCAGGGCAGACCCAAGGGAGCAGAAAACATGTTCATAGAAAAAAGGTGTACAGGAATGTTGTGAGCAGCTTTCTGTATGCTAGCCAGAACGTGGAGACAACTCCAGTGTCC